ATCGTGGCGAAGAGACCAGGGGGCCTGCATCCACGTTGAGCCTAGGGGTCCCAGTGCTCAGGAGCAGGCAAAGACCAAGACACCAAGACCCCAACGGTGGACTCAGGCGCTCCAGAGCCACATCGCTGCAAAAGCACCCTCGCCGTCCGCCTCCCCCCCTGGTTCCTCCTGCCCCCCCCTCCCACACCTGTACTCCTCGCCCTCCCTCCTCCTCGCCATCTCACCTCCTCGCCCCCCCTCCCTCCCCCTTCATAATTCCACCATATGAAGACTACTCTCCTTTCTCCCCTGATGACGTCTGGAAGATGTCCGGCCCCTCTTTGCGCATTGCTTTTTACAGAGGATTCATGGGATTTGCGTTTTCGCTTGGGCATCTTTCCAACATGTTGTTCCCGCTGAAGCGCGGTCCCCGTTTCTGCGTGGGCGTTTCCGTTCTTCCAAATAGGCCCCAAACTTTAGAAAATGCCCCCCGAAAGAACCATCGAACGTGATTAAACATTCGGTGTCGGTTCGTTGATTTTTTAGGCCGCAGAAGCCCCCCACTTTGGGGCGTCGTCGCTTTCAGGAAGTATCTGGAGGGTGCCCCGTTTCCAGCGGGTGCTCTCCATCAGCCTCGCCTTGTGTGGAGCTTTTCGGGGAGCCCAAGGAGCTAGAAGCTAAACATAGAGCCACGACTCCACACGGGCCCAGACCTCTCGAAGACGATCCACTTACCTTCCAAGGAACCTGGCGCCATGCCGTAGCATGCTGTGCGGTGTTGTTTTGCGCCGCTGTGCGATGCCTTGCTTTGCGTTGCAATGCTTTGTGATGCAATGCTGCACTGCGCAACGCCACGCCATGTTATGGCATGCTACGCTCTACCGTGCTCTTCTACGCTATGCCATGCCGTGCTCTACCATGCACCGCGCGCCCTCTCGCGATCATTGCCCTGCTCGACATCCGGCTGTGCGCGTAGAGAAGAAATCTATGCAACGGTAAGGGATGGGAGGGAGGGCTAGGACTCAAGGGCGCAAAACGCCCCTACTCTGGTTTACGAGGCGTTGTGCGCTGAACCTCCTGAAGGTTGACAGGGTAAACCCTGCGTGATGTGCGGCGTCCCGGCGACTCTCTATTTGGGAGTTCCCCGGATGTTTACAGACCGCGCACATGTAACCCAGGGTAGGGCCGTTTTTTGTTCACCCCTCAAGGACGTCAGATGCGACGCGAGCGCACCTAGCCGGTCCCTCCCCCCTCCTCCGTTTCCCTCCTCCCCTCCCCCCGATCCCCCTCCCCTCCTCCCCCCTCTTTCCTTCTCCTCCCCCCTCCTCCCCTCCCCTACCCCCATCCATCCTTCCTCCCCTCCTCCTCCCCTCCTCCTCCCCCCTCCTCTCGATCCTCTAGGTCTCGAGCGTGTCCCTCCCTCCCCCCTTGCCCTCGGTTTCCCCTCACTCTCTCCCGCCGCCCCCACCCCCCCCCAGCCTCGGGGCCGCCCGCAAGGCCAACCAAGCGCCCCCGGGGCGGGGAGCCGGCCCGAAGGGGAGGGGGGGGCCTCGGCGAGGCCTCGCGGGGGCACGCGCCGCGGGCAGGAGGCGTGCCACGTCGGAGGAGGGCGGGGGCCCGTGCAGTCAGTCCTGTCGGGGCTCAAGAGCCGGGGGGCAATGCAAACGGGGGTCGGCCAGAGCGCCGGATCTTGCAGGATCCTGCGGGGCCAGGGGCGCATTGACCCGGGTTTGGGTGCAGGATCCTGCAGGATGTTGCAGGATCCTTCGCGTTGACCCAGGTTTTGGCGCAGGATCCTGCAGGATCTTGCAGGATTCTGCAAAGCCTGATTGACCCGGGTTTGGATTGACCCGGGTCAGAAGATCCCCGTTTTTGTTTCTTGTGCGCCAGATTTCCGGGAATCGGATTTTTCGCTAGGGTCTGTTATTCAAAATGTTGTTCCCGCTGAAGCGTTGGCCTCATTTTCGAGCTTCCGCTCGTTCCGAATCATGCTCCCGCTGCAGCGCTGGCCTCATTTCCGCGCTTCCGCTCGTTCCGAGTCGTGCTCCCGCTGCAGCGCTGACAAAAACATACAAACTCGGAGGTCCGCGCGGATTTCTCGGATCGGCGCGGGGGCCCCCTGGCGGCGCCTCCGGCGCCACCCTCGGCGCGCTCCGCGCGCCAGGGAGGGGGGTCCAGCTCGGATCCAAGAACTCCGCGCGGACCTCCGAGTTTTTGTTTGTTATGTTTATGTCATTCTTCGTTCCCGTAAGAAAAGGTGAGCTCAATATCGCTGACCTTCCCTATTCGGGGTCGTACGTTTATCAGAAGCGATGCCTTCCTTGCTTTTCCCCGGGCCGTTCCTCTGGAAAGACTTGGCCCAAGCCAGTACTCTTCTCAGAAAATCAGTTTTCCTTGCCCTTCGCTGACTGTGACCCCCAGTAATCTGACCCCCCTTGCCAGGCGAATGGGTCAAGGCGCTGGAAGAAGAAATCGCTCATGCTTGGAATGGGTTCGCTGATCCTCTTTCTCTAATTCGCACTCTGTGCACCTCCTTTTGCCTCGTTCCCCACTCAAATCGCGCCTCTTGCGATACTGGCTTGACTGTAGCTGGCGAAGAGCAGCGGCGACGTCAACGTCGCACGACGGCGTCGCCGACGTCAGCTCGTCGACGCTGGATTTTTTGGGGGGTCTCCCTGGTCGCCGCAGCCGGGCGGGGCCGGGGGGGCGGGTCGGGGTGGACCCTTGGGAAGTGTTCGAGGATTTTTTTTCTGGACGCATTTTGGCCAGACAGCGACAACTGCGACGGCGGCCTGTACGTCCGAGAGTCACCATAGTTGACGGCGTGTCGAGCGCATCCAGCTTCGAGCTTCAGGGGTGCAGGAGGAGGGCGGCGACGGGATACGGGTACCGAGGCCCTTCTGAGCGCCCTTTCCCCCCCCTCCTCTCCTTTGCCCCCCACCCACTCCTCTTCTCTCTCCTCCTCTCCTCCACTCCTCTCCCCCTTCCCGCCCTCCTCTCCTCTCCTCCTCTTCCCCCCCTCTCCTCGCGCCCCCTCCTCGCCCCTCCACTCGTCTTGGCACGCAGCGTTGCCGATCCACCTCCAGAGAAGCAGTAGAGCACAGGCAGTGGATGGACTCGAGCAGAAGTTTGAGCGAAAGGGGAGGAGGAGGAGGAGGAGGAGGAGGAGGAGGAGGAGGAGGAGGAGGGCGGCGACGCCGCGGCGACGACCACGGGGACACAGCCCATGGACTGAAGTCGGGCCTGTCCCTGTACAGGAGGAGTATTCAACAATACTTTAAAAAATTGTCTGGGGAGGATGTTTGAAATTGTTTGACTCTTTCTGTATTTATTTGACTATTTTTATTTTTCGTCCAATTATCACAGTGCGACCCTACCTAAGAGTTGGAACCCCTAGGAAAACAGCATTAGTAGTATCAGTAACGCTAAGCTAAAGCTAAGCTAAAGCTAAGCTAAAGCTAAGCTAAAGCTAAGCTAAAGCTAAGCTAAAGCTAAGCCACAGCTAAGCTAAAGCTAAGCTAACGCTAAGCTAACGCTAAGCTAAAGCTAAGCTAAATCTAGGCTAAAGCTGAGCATCAGCTAAGCTAAAGCTAAGCTAAAGCTAAGCTAAAGCTAAGCTGGAGCTAAGCTACATCTAAGCTAAAACTAAGCTAAAGCTAAGCTAAAGCTAAGCTAGAGCTAAGCTAAAGCTAAGCTAAAGCTAAGCTAAACGCTAAGCGAAAAGCTAAGCGAAACGCTAAGCTAAAGACAAGCTACAGCTAAGCTAAAGCTAAGCTAAAGCTCCCAGGAGACTGGGGGAACCGCTCCCAGGGGACTGGGGGAACCGCCCGGGGCGCTTTCCACTGCCCGGCCCCTTTAAGCTAAGAGAGTAAGAACCCTTCTAGGCAGAGCCTAGGTAGGGAAAATGCCTCTGTAGGAGGACATGCCCGACCTAACCATGGACCTCGACCTCTTCCCTTGGGAGCGTTCTTGGCTCCGGATTTGACCTCTTGGATGGCCCCGGGGCTCGAGGGAGGCCCCCCGGAGGCCGAGGAGGTGGAGGACGGCCCGACGCTCGGAGAAACGCAGGGATCGACAGATCTGCCGCCGGGAGGTATGATTTTCGATGCTGACGTGGTTCCTCTTCGAGAGGGTAGAGCGGGGACGGAGGAGAGGAGGAGGAGGAGGCTCCGTTCCCCGCTCTGCCCTCTCTTTCTCCATGTCTCGTGCATCTGTTTGCGTGTGTCTTCTGCGGGCCCGGCCGCGCGCGCTGGCTCGGTGCCGACCGCTCGACTTGCTCCGCCTCGTCGCTTCGCGCGAGGCCACGTCCGCCAAAAAGCGTGTGTGCTTGTTGTGTGTGTGTGTTTTGTGTATGAGTGTGTGTGTGTGTGAGTGTGTGTGTGTGTGTGTTCGCACTCCGGCTACAGTCAACCCGCATGGTAAGGACGGGCAACCTCCCAAGGGCACCCTTGCAGCCTTGCCTCCGCGGCCCAGCCGTGGCCACTTTCGCCGGCCGCGTTTCCCGCTCGAACGGCCTCGAAATGGCCTTCCAGCCCTTGCATCCTTCTCGCGCATCCTTGTGACACGGGCCGACGGTGCGTCAGCCACGCGCAGAGGGGGGGGGAGGGGGGAGGCGTCCTTAGAAGCCCCCTCAGTTTTTTGGAAGGCGCGGGCCTTGTATATAGATGTAAGACCGGCGCCTTGTCAGAAGCAGCCTCCTTCTAGGAAGCAGCCTCCCTCTGAGAAGCCCTCCCCCCTCCCTCCGCCCCCTTGTGCACACCGCCAGCTGGTGTTAAGTCGGGCCTGTCCCCCTACAGGGGGATCTTCGACGGAAAATAAAAAGTACCCCGAAATAATCAAACAATAGTCCAAAAATTGTCCGCGGAATATGTTTTGAGTAGTTGTTGGCCTTTTTGGTGTATTTTTGGTATATCCTTTTATTTTTCGTCGAAAATCCCCCTGTAGGAGGACATGCCCGACATAAAGCTGGTGACACGGGCCGACGGTATGGCCTGGGGAGCGGTGGGGGGCACCGCGCGGAGGAGCGCCGCCGCCAGAGCGCTCAGCGGCGCGCCCGCCGCGGCGAGGCTGGGCAGGAGTGCCGCGCCGAGGCGCAAGGCCCCGCCCCCTCCTCTCTCTCGCCTGTCTTCCCTCCTCCCCCTCCTCCTCCCCCTCCTCCTCCTCCTCCTCCTCCTCCTCCTCCTCCTCCTGCTCCTCCTCTCCCTTCTCTTCCTCCTCCTCCTCCCCCTTTTCTCATTTTCCTCCTCCTCCTTCGCCTGTCTTCGGCCACGCGCAGAGGGGGGTAGAGGGGGAAAGGCTTCTTAGAAGGAGGCCGGCTTCTTAGAAGGCGCCGGTCTTACATATCTACAGGCAAGGCCGCGCACCTTCTGAGAAGCAGGGGTGTTTCTAAGAAGCCTTCCCTCCCCCTATACCCCCTCTGCGCGCCGCCCATGTTTGCAATGCTTGCTCCTCTTCCCAGCCATGCTTCAGGAGGGGATGAAGCACACAGACACAATGAATCTTCGACTCCCAGAAACATATTGGAAAATAATGGGAAGTCGGGAGATGACCAAAACCCAGAACATATGGGGAAATATTGGGAACCCTGGGATTTGTGTCTATTTATTTGTGTGTCCCTGGGCCCCTTGAGTCGTTTTTGAGGGAGACATCGCCCCGCGGTCCTTACTCCTCGTTCTTCCTCCTTCCACCCCTCTCTCCTCTCGCTTCTATCCTCCGCGCGTGGTCATCGTCCTTCTCCGACTCCTTCTGCTCATCATCATCACCACCAGCAGCATCAGCATTACCACACTTATAACCACTATCAGCATCACCACCATCACCACCACCATACTCATCATCACCATCCTCCCCCTCCTCATCATCATCATCATCATCATCATCATCATTATCATCATCACCATCATCATCATCATCATCATCATCGCATGACCATCATCACCGCCATCACCATCGCTATCGTCACACTCAGCGTAAGCATCGTCGCCATCGTACGCACCGTCATTATCGTCATCATCGCCCTCACGATCGTCATCATCATCATCGTCACCACCATCATCACCTACATCAGCATCATTAGCAGCACCACCATCATCATCGTCGTCATCATCATCGCCATCATCATCGACGACATCATCATCGACATCATCATTATCATCATCGTTGTCATCATCATCATCATCGACATCATCAGCATCACCAGCACCATCACCATCATCACCGTCGTCATCATCGGCATCACCGCCATCATCATCATCACCATCACCACCGTCATCATCATCATCATCATCATCATCATCATCATCGTCATAAACATCACCATCATCATTTTGATCATCGTCATCATCATCATCGCCACCATCAAGCCCATCTTCAGATTAATCGTCATGGTATTCACGACCATCATTACCCTCATCAGCGTCATCATCATCATCATCATCATCATCATCATCATCATCATCATCGGCATCATCATCATCGTCACCATCATCATCAGCGTACTTATCAGCTTCAGCGTCAGCGTCAGCATCTCCGTCGTTATCGTCAACATCATAAGCATCATCATCCTCGTTATCGTCTTCGTCGTCGTCGTCATCATCATCATCAGCATCATCATCACCATCATCCTTATACTTACCATACGTATCATCAGTAGCATCCTTCGCATCACCACCATATGCAGCATCAGCACGGCCGTCATCACCACTGTTCCCATCATCGCCATTTCGTTACACCCATCATTGATTTCAAGCCCCCCAGGGAACTCTACCTAAGGTTTCATTGCCAAGGCACGTATGCCTGCTCCACACCGTTTCGGCGCACCGCTTACACGTCTCGTGGCCTCAGACCGGGCTGCCTTAACCAGGTTTACGTCACACGTTTCGTCACAAGGCCCCATGCCCTCCTATTCAATTGACGATGCAGAGTTGCAACACTTGCTAGGTATCGATCAACCGCTTGCACACCATACATTTTCTGGGCTTGTTCATTCGGCAGGTGAGTTGTTACACGCTGCTTTGCGGATGTCTGTTTCCATGGCCACCGTGTTGCTTTTAAAATGAGCCAGTGCCAGGGCCCGCATGCCTTCTCCACACCATTTTGGCGCGTTTCGTGGCCCCATAGAGAGCTCTACCAACGGCCCCAGCGCCAGGGCCCGCATGCATTTTTCGCAACACCCCTCACACGCTTCGTGGCCCCAGAGGTGGCCCTTTCGAAGACCATACTCACAACTTCGGTACCCACGGCTGCATCTACGTGGCCGTCGCTGGGTTTTTTCAGGCGTGCCTTGGGACCCCACCCTCCACTCTCCATCTCTCTTCCTTCTGCGCGTCTCTTCCGTGTGGCACCACGAGACGCGTCGTCATGGTCGGCCGGGCGTGTCGCCAAATTGCTTCTTTCGCGTATCTTCTCAAGGCTTAAGCACTTCAGCAGTTACACGGCTGGAAGACGCCCTCCCTCCCCCGAGTCCTGTGGTCACAAGTCCCTACGAGTGAAGGAACATCAGAAGTCTCAGAGGGGAGCACGCCCCTAAGACGCCCTCTGGCAGGCGGCCGCGCGGCCTCTCAGGGGCACAGCGCCTCCACGAACGCCTCCACCGCGCCTCCACGGACGCCTCCACGAACGCCTCCACCGCTGTGGTTTTCAAATTGTTGTTCTCGCCCTGCCACCGCGCACTTTCTTTGTATCGGCGTCATCCCAATATATTAATACTACGTCTGCGTCGCCCCTAGTGGCGACGCGCGCACCGAGAAGTGCTGTAGTATATGCGTTGGGGCGGGCGCTTTCTGGCCACACCGCTAGGGAAACAATTTCTTACGATCTGGCAATACTATATGTTCGGGTCGGACGCGCGCCTCCAAGGAGGACATACCGTATCATCATGTACCTGTGCGCCCCACATGCCGCCCCCCCATGCCGCCCCCCCACACACATTTACTTTCCCTTTCCTCTCCGGCTTTTCTCCGCTTCGCTGTATTCTCTTCCCCGCAGGGGTGCCTTCTGCGCTCCTCTTCCTGTCCCGTGGCCGTCGCGCTGGTTGCGCGACTCCAATGCGCGCAGCATCCGCAATCTCTCAATAGCCTCCTCTTCCGCTCTGTCCCTGGTTCTCTTCTCGATCCCCCCTCCGTCCCTCCGCCTCCTCCTCCTCCCTCCCTCTCCTCCCCGCCCTCTTTTACACTTACACATTACGAATCTTATTCTCCTCTCTCCCCTGATGACGTCCGGAAAGTATCAGGCACCCCTCCGCGTATCGTTTTTTTCACAAGATTCCTGGGAAACGGATTTTCGCTTGGGCTTGTTTTCAAAGTGTTGCTCCCGCTGAAGCGCTGGCCTCTTTTTCCGCTCGTTCCGAATCGTGCTCCCGCTGTAGCGTTGGCCTCATTTCCGCGCTTCCGCTGGTTCCGAATCGTGCTCCCGCTGCAGCGTTGGCTTTCTTACAAATAATGCCCCAAAATCTAGTAAATGCTCCCTCGGAAAAAAACGCCGGAAGTGATTACACTTTCGGTGTCGATTCGTTGATGTTTTGGGTCGCAGAAGCCCCCCCCCCACTTGGGGGGGTCGTCGTTGTCAGGAATGTATCAAGCGGGAGCCCCGTTTCTGCTTTGAGAAGGCGACGCTGGGAGCAGAGCCAACGGGGGCTCTCCATCAGCCCCGCCTTGTGCTGAGCTTTTCGGGGAGCCCAGACCGGCCCAGATCTCTCGAAGATAATCCATTTACCCTCCAAAGAACCTGGTGCCATGCCATGACATGCTGTGCGGTGTTGTGTTCTGCGCCGCTGTGCGATGTCACTCTTTGCGTTGCAATACTTTGTGATGCAATGTCTCACGCGCAATGCCACGCCATGCTATGGCATGCTACGCTCTGCCGTACATGTCTACGCCATGCCATGCAGTGCTCTACCATGCATCGCGTACCCTCTCGCGATCATTGCCCGGTTCGACATCCGATTGTGCGAGTAGAGAGGAGATCAACGCTATGGTAATGGATTAGAGGGATGGGTTTCACGTGGGATATGACGCGAGCGCACCTAGCTTGTCCTCCTCCTTCTCTTCCCCCACCTCCCCTCCCCCCGATCCCCCTCCCATCCTCCCCCCTCCCCCCTCTCGCCTCCCCTCTCCCTCCCATCCTCCCATCCTCCCATCCTCCCCCTCCCATCCTCCTCCCCCTCCCATCCTCCACCCTCCCCCTCCCATCCTCCTCCCCCTCCCATCCTCCTCCCCCTCCCATCCCCCCTCTCGCCTCCCCTCCCATCCTCCCCCTCCCCTCCTCCACCCTCCTCTCGATCCTCTAGGCCTGCAAGACGGGGTCCGAGTAGACGGGGTCGACGGATGGCGCCGCATCGCAGATGCATCTCCGATGCGTCGGCGATGCGGCTCGATGTGGAACCTGATTTTCTCCACGCCGACGGCGCCGATGCACCGCTGACGTCGCCGATGCATCGCCGATGCATCGCCGACATCGCCGATGCATCGCCGATGTGTCGGCGATGCATTCGTGATGCGGCGCGATCGTCCGCCCCCATCTACTCGGACCCCATCTAGGAGGCCTCTAGATCCCCATGCCGCGCCAAGTTTTTTTTGCCGTGATCTGTTCTGCGCACGCCGCACACCGCTGGCCCGTTCGCCGCGCTCTCAGGTTCCCGTGCGTGCCGGGTCTCCTCCTCTTCCTCTTCTGCTTCTTCATCCTCCTCCTCCTTCTCATGGCGCCAACGTCGCAGAGCGGATTGCGTTCGGAGAACGACAAGATGGGCCCGAAGTGTCCTGGAGAAGTTTGTCGTGGATTTCGAGGTGAATTTCGCCAGGGTTTTTGGCCGGGAATGAAGACTAAAAATGATCCACGCGAAATTCATTCCGTTTTTCATTCGCAGTTTCGGGCTTTTGTATTAGCAGAAGTCCACGCAACAAATTTGCTGCAGCACTGCTGCAAGGTCGCCCTCCACGATTGTAGCAGTAGTTCGCGTTGCTTTCTTCAGTTGTGCTCCCACCATTGCTCGCCATGGCGCGTGCTGACCGCCGCCACTCTTGGCACCCCTGGCTTCCGCCACGACAGGCGCCCCCCCCATTGTATATCGCGAGGCGGCGCTTGGGGCGCCCCAAGTCTCC